TGGGCCAACCAGTTCCACCGCGTTTCTCCACCCGGACCGCGCCCGGTCCCGCTGGGCTCCGGCAGGTCGCGGGGGAAGTTTCCGTGGCTTTGAGGGGTCCCCGAGCCCCTGCAGTGTGGGGGGCGGGCAAGGGCTGAGCCTGGAGGCCTGGTGTGGCCGCTCCGCCTGGGTAAGCCGGCCTCCCGTGTATCTTCAGGGACTAGGACGGTGTGGTTATTTGCCCTCTGCGAAATGAGTATTTCTAGAGTGGGAACGCCCCAAACCGGAAGGGGTTCGTTGGGGGTTGTTAGGCTCCCCTTATAGGAGATGGAGCCCTGTCATCTGACACACACACGTGTGTGCAGGAAACGGGGCACATGCTAACCTGGCAGCTCAGGGAAGGCCTGCCTGATCATCTTGCAAACTCAAGAGACCTAAAGGGACCACAAGGGATGATCTGAAGTTAAAACGTTAGGTTAGCTGGTTTGGCTCAGTGGATAGAGCATCCGCCTACGGACTGAAGGGACTCGGTTTCAATTGAGGCAAAGGACACGTGCCCTGGTTTCGGGCTTGGTCCCCAGAGAAGGGGAGGGGGCAGGAGGCAGCCGATCAATGATTCTTTCCATCATTGATGTTTCTCCCTCTCCCTTCCTCTCTGAAATAAAAAAAAAAAAGAAATTTTTTTAAAACTTTCATTAAAAAGCAGTCTATGGTGGGTAGTCATGTGGTAGGCCAGTATCTTCCCTGACAAAAATCGCATTCTACCTTTACTGAGCCTATTGTCTTTTTGCATCTAAGATAAGGTACCTGTGGAATGTCAGGGTAACTTGAAACTTAGCTTTTTCTGGACCTCTCAGGGCACAGCCAATGGGGTGGAGTCCAACCACTAATTTCCTGACTTTATTGTTATCTGTTAATTGTTGACTATTAACTATCCTGTACTCAGATGGAGCATCCACCTTCGGACTGAAGGGTCCCAGGTTCGAAGCATGTGTCTATCATTTTACTTTTTATCCAATCACAGAGGTTTCCCCATTTTGCTTTCTCCCGCCTCTCTATCACCAATGGATGTCATGTAACTCCTTTGATTGTAAAGTATAAAACAAGGTGAAAATCCACCATTCTCTGGAGCATTATCTTAATTTGTTGAAATTCTGCTTCCAGGCAATTGTCGACAGTTTGGCTCAAATAAACTCACAAAAATTATTCACAGGTTTGAATGTTTCTTAAGTTAACACTAGCATTAAACATTTGAGGCAATTTCTAGGCCCCAGACCAGTGTCTTCAACTCATTAAGAGAGTTTGTATTCCACAGCAGAAACCAGTCCGTTACCTTTACAGTGGTTTTTAAGTTGTGGTCCCAGACTGGCAACATCACTTGGGAACTTGATAGGAATGCAAATTATTGTATTTCACCTTAGATCTACCTAATCAAACTCTAGGGGGGTGGAGCCCCAGCAATCTGCTAGTGTTTTTGGTTTTTAGTTTATTGGTTGATTTTAGAGAGAGAAATTGCTATTTGTTTTTCCACTTATTTATGCATTCATTGGTTGATTCTTGTTTGTGTCCTGACTGGGATCAAACCCACAACCTTGGTATATAGGGATCATGTTCTAACCAACTGAGCTACCCAGCCAGGGCCCAGCAATCTGTTTCGTTTTGTTTTTCAGGGTTGTTTGTGTGTTTTTTTTCTTTTAATTAATGTTAAAGAGAGAGGAAAAGAGAGAGAGAAAAATATCAATGTGAGAGAGAAACATGAACCAGTTGCCTCCCACACTGACCCCAACTGGGGTTTGAACCCACAACTTGGGTATGTGCCCTGACTTGGGATTGAACCAGCAACCTTTCAGTGCAGGGGACAATGCTCAACCAACTGAGCCACACCAGACATGGGCCAGCCATCTGTTTTAACAAGCCCTCCTGGTGACTCTGATGCACACTAAAGTGTGAAAGCCATCTTCCTATTACTCTACATGCTTCTCTACCTAAACGCTTCCTCGGGGGAGTGGGAGAGAGTAGGTTAAAATTTTAAGGGGGGCCTGCGCTCTCTCTCTAGGGAGCACACAAGAGCCTTTCCCTCCCCTCTCTTCTTCCCCCTAGCCCAGGGGTCAGCAAACTCATTCGTCAACAGAGCCAAATACCAACAGTACAACGTTTGAAATTTCTTTTGAGAGCCACATTTTTTAAACTTAAACTATATAGGTAGGTACATTGTTAGTAACTTAATTAGGGTACTCCTAAGGCTTAGGAAGAGCCACACTCAAGGAGCCAAAGAGCCTTTATCTCTCCTTAAGTCCCAAGGGTCCTTCTACTACTTGTGGAACTTTCTAAATAAACTTTCTCTTATAATTTGGGGGGAAACGTTTTTGTTGTTTTTTTTTAGTGGAAAAAGTAAGCTATACATGTCCCCAAAAGAGGAGTGAAAAACTTGAGGAAAGTCACTGTCAAATTTAAATAAACTGCACAACACTTTGGGTCCCCAGCATTTTTCTTCAGACCCCACCAGTCTGTTTATCAGGCAAATAGCGGGCTTTCTGTCCAATCTGCCCCAGAGACCTCCGGGATTTAGTCATTCCCTAAGAAGCCTGTCTTCGATCATCTTCGATCAATCGGCACTATTCCCCTTAGTGATCTCAGCCCCACCCCTCCCTCTGCCTTAACTATCACCTTAAGAGAATATTTCCCAAACCTCTGCTTTCCGGCCCACTCTCCTGAGCTATAGGCCCCAACATCCAACAGCCTGTTCAGACACTCCCTCTAGATTTCCCACTTCATCCTTTCGATTCGCCCTTCTTCCTTTCCTCGTGCTTCCTCTGCCTAGAAATCATAGCCTGCCTTTGAAGAATTGGTCATCAATTTAGACAATTCAAAGACTTCCCACCTCCTTCCTGCTTCAAAAACGTTTCCTGTTTCCTAACCTCCTCCTGCTGCTCCTTCCCTTCCCCTGGGTAGACGTGGTTACTCCCCTTTTGCACCCAACGAAACCTTTACTGATGTCTACGGTGGCACATTCAACAGCAGTCATAGCACACGGGCGTTTAACTTACCTGCTGTATTCAACCACATAAACTTCGCAAAAACAAAACAAAACAGCTCTGAAGATCGTCATCCGCTCCAGAATTCATGTGACATAGGAGCCATTATGCTCCTCATAAAGTGAGCATTCCATCGTGTCAGAGTCTACTTTCTGTGCCATTAGAGCAGTAATTTTGTCCCCCAGGGAACAGTTCACAGTGTCTGAAGATATTTTGGTTGTCACAACTGGGGTGGGGAGGTGTTACTAATATCAAATGGGTAGAGGCCAGGGATGTTACTAAGCATTCTACAATACACTGGATAACCCCCTACAACAAATACTTTTTCAACCCAAAATCCGTTTAATCTTTCTAAAAAATAAATTGGGTCAGATCATTCCCTTGATTAAACTCCTCCATAGCTTGCCACTGGAACTGGAATAAAATCCAACTTCCTGGCCATGGTCTAGTACAGGGGTGGGCAAACTTTTTGACTTGAGGGCCACAATGGGTTCTTAAACTGGACCGGAGGGCCAGAACAAAAGCATGGATGGAGTGTTTGTGTGAACTAATATAAATTCAAAGTAAACATCATTACATAAAAGGGTACGGTCTCTTTTTTTTTAGTTTTATTCATTTCAAACGGGCCAGATTCGGCCCACGGGCCGTAGTTTGCCCACGCTGGTCTAGTAGGTCCTCTGTAATCTGGCCCCTGCCTACCTCTCTGACCTCTCCCTCTTCAACTTCCCTCTCAATCACTAAATCTAGTCAAAGTGGTCTTCTATCCAAACATACCAAGTTTGTGCTCAAACACACCAGAGATTCTCTGGATCTCCGCACTTGTTATTGCTACTACTGGGAATGTTCTCCAGTGTATGTGTCATCTCAGATGTTATCCGTCTCCTCAAAGAGGTAGGTATTCCCTAAACATTGTAACATGAGTAGCCACCACTGCCATCAACACAACTACCAGTTATAGACACTCATTACTCTATTTAACTTTTAAAAATCTGATATTCTGCATGTTTACTGTTTATTTCCCCCTACTAGAATGTAAGCTCCTTGAGAACAAGGATATTTCTAGAGTCTAGTAATAAATGTTCAATAGAATTTGCTTGACTACAACAGGGTCCCCAAAACTCAAGCAAACTACTTCATCTGGTAATGAACTAAACAGAGATTTGTTTCCAATACTGGAGGAAAAACTGATGGACTGTTGAGATGAGGAGATGTTGGAATTCAATGTAATGTTACCCTATGGGATTTTTCAATGTTTTTTTTTTATATATTTTTATTGATTTCAGAGAAAAAGGGAAAGGAGGAGAGAGAGAGAGAGAGAGATATTAAAACATCAATGATGAGAGAGAATCATTGATCAGCTACCTCCTACTAGGGATTGAGACCTCAACCCAGGTATGTGCCCTGTCTGCGAATTGAACATCGACCTCCTGGTTCATATGTTGACACTCAACCTCTGAGCCACATGGGCCGGGCCCAATGTAGTTTTGAAGATACTGTGGGTTTGTGTTTTGTTTTTTTCACTTAATCTGCTGACTTTAGATATATAACTATTATTCTGTCCTTGCTTATGTCAGTCTTCTATTAAACTGTAAACACTTTTATGTACTATTTTACTGACTTATGTCTGTCTTATGCCAGTACCACGTTGTCTTACCATTCTTTGAAGTAAGTTTTGAAACAGGGGTGTGTACATCCTCCAACTTTGCAAGCTTGATGAATCCATGGGTACTACACATTATCCCCATTTTACAAATGAGGAAATTAAAGAAACTTAAAGAAGTTTGGCTTTCCCACAGGCACAAAATATTTGGTGGTTGCCCCAGGATTCATACTCAGCTCTATATAAAGCTGACCTGTTGGCTATGCTCCTATAATCTCGTCCCAATCTACCTTCCAGACTTAATTTATGCTAATCCCCCAATGTACCCTAAAATAAATACCTCCGATGCTTTTCTGCAGAGCGCCTTGCTCTCCATCTGTTTCTAATTCACAAAATCTTCACCTTAGCAAAGCAGTCCCTCTTTTCACTCTATTTCCTTAGCTCTACAAGGTTTTTATTCCACATTACATCTTGTAATAAAGATATCTGTGTATATGTATTATTTCCCTTCCTAGGCTAAGAATAAGGACAGTGTCTCATTCAACTTTGTATATCCCCAAAGTTCTAATACCTTTTACATGATAGGTACTGAGTACTTTGAATGAATAAATGAATTCTGACATTACCCTATCAACGCAGGCAATAAGAATGCATAGGTGTGTGTTAGGGTTGGGGTTATGGTGTTGAGGTCCTGGCAAGGTTATAGGAATGAATACCTAGGGAATATCTTAATCTTGAGAGTGTGATAAAAGAAGGAAGACAGGCCTGGCTGGTGTGGCTAGGTGGTTGATCATCAACCTATGAACCAGGAGTTCACGGTTTGAATCCTGGTCAGGGCACATTCCCTGGTTACAGGCTCAGTCCCCAGTGTGGGGCATGCAGGAGGCAACCTATCAATGATTCTCTCTCATCATTGATGTCTCTCTCTCTCTCCCTCTCCCTTCCTTTTTGAAATCAATAAAAATATATTTTTAAAAAAGAAGGAGGAGGAAGACATGAGACAGGGTGTGGCAGACCGGCAGGCCTGAACAGGGAGCTGATGCTAATCACTCTTTTGACAAGAGAGAAACCTCCAGTTGTGAGGTGGTGTGTGTGTAGACAAGTAATACTTGCCAGTGAATAGGAAATAAGAGTAAAAACCAGTGACTTAAGAAGCCCCAAACTGCGTTTATTGTGGTATAGATCAGATAATAACAAATAACTCGAGTATATTTAAGTAAAGTCTGATATAACTGGAATATCTAAAATATAATGCCAGGGCAAAATGCTGCTTGCTCTAGGGTTAAAAGTCCTCAAGAGAAAATACAAACATGAGATACTTATCTTGAAAATGCCAAGAAATAGAACAGTGTGCCAATCCTCACAACCTCCCCAGGTTCCCAAACACTTCTCTGACTTGCCCCTTCTTGCACCACCTCAAGTCATTAGCACCTCTCCATTTTTTAGACCAAATTGCTGGACAAGAATTCTTTCAAAATAAGGTGCCATGCTTCTCCTTGGTGCCATCTGGTTCAAATCAAAAGGTATAACTTTTGCACAGAGGAAACTGTTAGGCCTCTAGGCTCTGGAAAGACTGACACCGAGGCCTCTTGCCGCACACCAAAGCTAGAATCCCGACTCTAGAAGCTGCCTGTAGCTAACCTCTCAGAAATGACTCACATCATATAGGAGGTCCCATGCTGCTTAGAAGCTTTACCTGGACAATGAGGTTTCAAAGTTGGCAATAAACCGGCATCAACAGGGTAATTTTATCAGCCCCCCCTTTTCTAGGTATCCAGTGAGAATCTGGCTCAGCTATTTAATCCCCACCATCTACTTTCTCTTCCAGCTGCCTCTTCTCCAGCTGGCAGGAGCTCCCAAGAAACGTGATATAGTAGGCGCTGCCGTAAACTGGCTGCTTGTTGGGGTTGGAATAGACCTGTTCAGGTTTGAGGGACGTGAAAGGGTTGGCTCCATAGGCAATGACGTGTATATCCAGGTCCACCAGGATCTGCAGAGAGGCTGCAAGCTCCTGATGGCTGAGGGAGACAGAAGAAAAATTGCTCTGCTGATGAGAGAGATAGGAGAGAAAGTGCTCAGAACTTGACATTTCTGGGCTCATCAAGCCCCCAAATTACCTCAGGCTGGAGTCGGCAAAGGCTATCCTTCCCTCCCAGATGTCTCACTAATTACCAACTTACTAACACAGGCCTTTGTTCCAAGGGGACCAGAAAGCCAAGTGTGAGAAGAAAGAAAATCCTCACCAGAAGGCAGAAGATGAGCAAAGGAGAGAGAAATTAGCTCATCTCTATAAATAGAGGCCTGAGGGAGTCAGGGAGGCATCACAAATAGGAAGAGATCCAAACCTGTAAACAGTCATCAATGTAGGGATTTCATAATCTCGAAGTAGCAGAAGGGTGGGCAGCCAAGCCTCCATCAAGTCTGGGGAAGCGTGAAAACCTATGGAATAGAGAGGGGAAAGGCTGAGGTAGGTACTTCTCTGATTGTGTCCATCCTAACCTTCACCTTGCTCACTGCTAATGCTCATTTACCACTATCACCCACCCCAGGTTCTTCAATGGAAAATTCTGAACCCAGGTGTAGCACATAAGGCTAACGACCAACAAGGTCATCATCATATTGTGTTTAACCTGACCTAATGAATGTGGCTCCAAAGATAGAAAATACAAGAGTCAGAAGAGAAAATTCCCAGAGGACCCACCCAGTATTCCCCTGAACCACTCTTACCTGGGTGGAATGCCACCACCAAATCTGGAGGGGCTGTCTGCCCAGTCTCTACCTGCTCCTCCCAGAAGTTATGGTAGAGGCCCCTATGGCCACTAAGCTGAACGGTGCCAGGTTCCACAGGTGAAGTTGAGGTGCTCTGTGAAAAGCCAGTAGCAACGTCTACACCCACCATTATTATACGGAGGCCAAGGTGTCCAGGAAACATGTAACCAAGCTCATCATAGTCCCCGGGGCGCGTGAGAAATGTCTCCGCGTGGGAAGCACCAACTACATGCACTGTGCTCCCTCCGATCTTCTTCACATTTAGCCCCAAGGCCCGAAGCCCCAAGCCCAGGGTCAAAGGCCGTGACAGGACATCTGTCAGGAGTCGCTTCAAAGAGCCCTTCAGGACATCTGGGTCTGGCCTTGGCCTCCCTGCACTGGCCCACAGGGTGGTCATGGCATGACTACCTAGCACAGCAGCCAGTATAGCATCTAGCTGTAGGCGCCGCATAGAAAACCAGGTGTCCCAGTCCTGTACAACTTCAGCCAGCCTTGGCCAGGGTCCTGCGGGTAGGACAAAATCTCCTGCAGGAAAGAAGGAACAACAAAGAAGTGACCTAATTCTTATCTGGCTTCAATGTTCCTTCTAGGTTCATTCTCCCAACCTGAGACCAGGAAGGCCTCACTATCCTGCCCCTCTCCATTCTTCATTTTTCCCTCATAACAACATGCTTTCATCTCTCTCTCTGAGAACAATCAATTTTGACCATTATGGCAGAGTTCCCCAACACCACCACTCCACCTGTGACCAGAAGCCATTCCATGAGACGGTCCACAGCTACAAGACGCAGCTCTTGACAAACCCTCCTGTGGGCGGGCCAATCTGACCTCTGGCACTCTGGACCACAGTAATAGACATTTCTGCACCTGAGAGAATAAGCCCCAGAAATATTGGTTCCTATATTTCAAAGGTGACTGGGAGAATATCTGGGGAAGAGAATTGATATTCCTGTACCTAGGAAGAAAAATTACTGGGTAAGGAAGGCAGGGAGAGGAATGGCAGCTATTTGCAACCAAATTTGGGGACTACATTAGAAGGGGAGGCGGGAGAGATTGGGAATGTAATTTTTCTCTTGGGTCAGAGTAACACCTCAGTCTCTACCTGCAACAACTCACTTTTTACATCCCTTAAAGAAAAAATAACTCCAGGAGTTTGTGGCTGCCCTCTTACCATGTGTATGTCTCAACCCTAACCTGCCCAGAACAGATTGTGGTCCTACCCCTCAAGTTCTCAAGAGGAAGAAGGTAGAATAGTACTGGGATCTCTGTGTGACTTCCCCATAGCACCAAAACAAGCAGGAGCCCAACCCTTTTCTAATCTGTCTGTGGCCTGGATCACATAGAATGAGGAGGAGGCCTTATGTTTTTGTGAAAACGCTGACCATTCCTCCTACAATGAGATCTTAGAACAGGGTCGTTTCTGGATCTCTCCCCTACTTGCCCCTGATTAGTCACCTCTTGCAGCGCCGGAGGACCTTGGAGTCTGAAAGGCCGTTGGGGAGCGCTCTACAGTGAGCACAGAATCGGAACGTGTCCTCCATCTTCTGGAACATTTCTCGTGGGCATCGAAATCCAAAGCCTGACACAGGAGTATCCCCATCTATCACCAACCTGCAGAGACAGCATGAAACGGTACAGCAATAGGGAAAAGAGTATCTCCAAAGTCTCTCAGGACCCCTCCTTTGCCTCCTACATGTTGTATTTCTACCTACTCCCATCATTTTGACTTAAAAATAATAATATATATATATATTTTAATATGCACTTTTATTTTCATTTTCTTTTTTATTGACTTTTATAGAGAGAAAGACAGAGATAGAAACATCAATGTGAGAGAAACATCGATTGGCTGCCTCCTGCACACGCCCTGACTGGGGATTGAATCCCTGGTATGTTCCGTGACTGGGAATTGAACCTGTTACTTTTTGGTGTATGGGACAATGCTCCAGCCTAATGAGCCACACCAGCCATGGCACAAATTATATTTTTTAATTTCTATAGTAATGAACTGGCAAAAGTCAGGATGGGAGAAATCCCTTGTTGCAAATACTTCATTATTCCCAAGTTGTACTCCCTCTCCACCTTTTGAAATCGTTTCTAAGGGTGACTACAAATTGCTCTTCCACAGAGCTACTCACTCACTTGTATTCTTCATAGCTTTTCATGTTCAGCTTCTGAAGAATCAGCTGGGATAGGCCAGGAACATTATTGTCCAAGGAGTAGAAGCCAAGTGCATCAATGCTAGGGCCAGGTTTTGAGAGGGTCAAAGGCACAGGGGTCACAGCTGTGGGAGGGGTCACAGCTGTAGGCTGGGTCACAGCTGTGGGAGCCACTGATGAGGACGATTTCTTGTGCCTTCGTCGCCGGGGCCGTGGAGCCATGGCCTGTCCACTGATACCTGGGGACTATATGTAGACAAGATATAGAATGGAATTTTGCAAGCTGGATGATGTGTTTTCATGCATTTGACCTTTCACTTCTCATTCTAGTCTTTCAGACCCAGGTATCAGTAAGACTTATTTCTGATCTACTAATTATTGATCACTACAAAGAAAAACAAAGGGGGAAATATTACATATGATGTTCTATATCTCTATATAAAAGCCTAAGTGACTGTTCCACTGTTTGACTGGTAGCTATGACGCACCCTGACCACCAGGGGGCAGATTCTCAATGCATAGGCATGAAAACATGGAACAGACTGATGAATCTCAGAGGGAAGTGGGGGGAGGGCGAGAAGAGATTAACCAAAGATCTTATATAAATATTAGAGGCCTGCCCTAACCAGTTTGGCTCAGTGGATAGTTGCAGGCACATCCCCAGTGGGGAGTGTGCAGGAGGCAGCTGATTGATGTTTCTCTCTCATCGATGTTTCTAACTCTCTATCCCTCTCCCTTCCTCTCTGTAAAAAATCAATAAAATATATTAAAAACAAAAACAGAAACAGCAGCTCTTACAGTATGTGGCAGAGTGCAAGCTATGTGCTGGGCAAGTGCTTAGTCCCTTTATTCATTAAAAAAAAATACTAGAGGCCCGGTGCACGTATTTGTGCACTGGTGGGTTCCCTCAGCCTGGCCTGTGGGGATCTGGCTGAAATTGGCAGTCTGACATCCCCTGAGGGGATCCGGATTGGGAGAGGTGCACCAGTCCTCTAGTAAAATATAAATATGTCTGTAAGTAATGCATAAAAAAAGGTCTGGAAGGGCTCCTCTAAAACCATTAACAGTGATTAACTGGGGGGAAGAGGCTCTAGGATAGGAAGTGAGTTGATCAAAGGCAACTTTAGACTTAAAGGCAACTTTGACTTTTTTATACAAAAAATATCTATAATAATAAGAGCACAATATGCTAATTAGACCAGACATCCTTCCGGATGACCTTCCAGATGAAGCTGGGGCTTCGAGGGAAGCTTGGGTCCCAGGTGCCAGAGGGAAGCCTGTGCTGGCAGCTGGGGGAAGGAAGGCCTACTCTTGCATGAATTCATGCACCAGGCCTCTAGTATTCATATATGAGTATATTTCAAAAAATCAACTTAGAAGAAAAAGCAACAGAAGTTTGGGCTGTCACAAACTACCATCTAATTGAATAAGTCAATCTAATTTAGTTGAAAAAGTAAAACATTCATTTTAAAAGGCCTGTCATCACATTTATAGGCAATAAATCAAGACATGAAAATTAAATGAGCACCAGAATGCTAAGAGTTACATAGTCAACACAAGTAATGCAAGTTATGAGAAAAATTTCTTAAAGAGATGAGTTTGTATTTTTTTATAATATATTTTTATTGATTTCAGAGAGGAAGGGAGAGGGAGAGAGAGATAGAAACATCAATGATGAGAGAGAATCATTGATCAGCTGCTTCCTGCACACCCCAACTGGGGATAGAGCCCACAACCTGGGCATGTGCCTTGACCGGGAATTGAACAATGACCTCTTGGTTCATAGGTCAACACTCAACCACTGAGGCACGCCAGCTGGGCAAGAAGTGAGTTTTGAAGTAGAACTAACCCTGCAACCACACCCATACCTACACCAACACCCACCCGCTACCCAGCAGGAACTCTGTGATGGCCGCCCTCCTTGGCTTACCATTCCTTCTCTGAGTGCTGAGTAAACCAAAAGAACTATATTGACAAAAATAAAATCATCCATTCATTAAACAAATATTTATTTATAAACATATAAAATAATGTACAAAATACTATAATGAAAAAACTTGTGAAAAATATACTTAACATCTAGATATCTTATAGAGGGATTAAATGTAAACTATAGTATAAGGCAGTATATATATATACTGTTTTGTTCAAAATTGGGAAATCTCTGAAATTGAATAAAAAAGTAAAACAGAGAGACATACTTTTTGAAAAAATAAAGTTGTATTGATATTCTATAAGAAAAGTGAAACTAAAGCACTAATAGGAAATCAGAAGAAGTGAGTTTCTTCAAGGAAGACTTTACAAAGCAGGGAGCAAAACAATAAAATAAAAAGCAGGGAGTAGGTGGACTAGACCAGCAATTTTCAGCCGGCGTGCCACAAAGATGTTTACAACATGCAGTACTGGACTATTTAGTCAAGTGCACCAACCTCTCTTCCATTAGATTGTCAATTTTAAAAATGACAACAACCGCCCTGACCAGTTTGGCTCAGTGGATAGGGCGTCGGCCTGTGGACTGAAGGGTCCCGGGTTTGATTCCAGTAGGGGGCATGTACCTTGGTTGCGGGCACATCCCCAGTAGGGGGTGTGCAGGAGGCAGCTGATCTGTGTTTCTCTCTCGTCGATGTTTCTAATTCTCTATCCCTCTCCCTTCCTCTCTGTAAAAAATCAATAAAATATATATATTTTTAAAAATGACAACAACCAATACAATAGCCATCCAGTGTGGATGAATCAAAATTATATATTTTTTATCAGATTGGCAAATATATTTTTTGATGTGCTGCAGAATTTTAGTTTATGTGTGTCATGAGATTAAAAAGGTTGAAAATTGCTACAAGAGTAACAATGAAAGATGGTAATACTTTGAATACAAGGAGATAGAAAAAACGGATTTCTGATCACAGAGAAGAGCATGAGCATAGAAATGTAGGTGGGAACATTCGGTGGAATTAATGAAATAGAATGGATTGAACTTGATGATTGAGTCTAAAGACCTAAACCTAAGAGCTAAAATTACAGTCTTATAACAACACACAGGGGGAAAACTTCATGATATTGGATTTGGCAATTTCATGGATAAAGCACCAAAAGTACAGGCAACAAAAGAAAAATAGATAAATTGGACTACATCAAAATTAAAAACTTTTGTGCAGCAAAGGACAGAATGAAATAGAAATCCATAGAATGGGAGAAAGTGTTTTCAAATCACATACCTGATAAGAGATGAATAGCCTGAACATGTGAAGAACTTCTAAGACTCAACACCACCAAACAACCCAATTCAAAAATGGGCAAAAGATCTGACCAGACATTTCTCCAAAGAAAACACAGAAACTGCCAAAAAGCACATGGAAAGATGTTCAACATCACTAATGTTGGCAAAAGAAAGTCCAGCCTAAGAAAAAATTTTATGAGTTTATTTGGCGGGGGGGGGGGGGGGGGATGTAAGAACATCCAAACCTGTAGAGAATTTTTATTAGTTTATTTAAGTCAAACTGATGACATTCTCAACAGATAGAAATAAAATGCTCCAGAGAATGACAGTTTTGCAGATTATTTTATACATTAGAATAAAATAAAGGAAGAAATAGAGGAAGGTTTACATGAAATGGTGATAGGGGAGGGGCACATAATAGGAACAGAATCGCCGAAACCGGTTTGGCTCAGTGG